TGCATAGGGAGCAGCTGTGGGTGTGTAGAGGGATAGTGTGTGCGCGCGCGCGTGGGGAGGGACAGGGGGTGTAGGGCGAGTCTGACACACACCTCATCATACACATGCACCCCACCTACCCTTGCACTGCCATACACACAGACACCCACACATCACACACCCCAGCCACCCTATGCCCCCCACAAACCCCATACCCACCTGCACACCATATGCTCCCTCCCCCCATACCCACACACATACACCTCCAGACACGCCCACACCCTCCCCCCTCCAAACCTATACCCCCCCAGAGTAAGACTTCATTTTAAGCCATTATATACAATCAAACCTCTGTGTATGTACACTACACAAACACATGTAAACCAGAACAAAAATATTTTGATATCAAATTAATGAACGGTTTAGACATTCACATTTTAGAATATAATCTGGTATTTTTCTGGGTCCAAGATGGCAAACACCTTGCTAAAAGGAACATTTCCGGGGGCAAGGGGAGGGACTTTCGGTGGCAGAGGTCAGGGGTTGGGGGGCGGGACTTCCAATCACAATATGAGGACGAGGGGGCAGGACACTTGTTAAGGGGCTACCCTGTGTAGCCCTCAACAGCTCGCCAAAACTTGGTAAGTGGCCCTCCGCCCAAAATAATTGCCCGCCTCTGCCCTACACTTTTTATTGTATGCACACCCATATGTAGTCCCATTAAGTCCTGGGACCTTTTACTGAATCTCATCCTTGCCAAGTTCTCCATCTACGAAACCAAGAAGGAGGTGCTGGTGGAGGGGAACTCAGGTGACTGTGGGGCTGTTTTTCTTTCATTTAACTGTGCACTTATCTGGGCAGTTTCACTGGGCAGCAATCACAGCATTCTTAGATGCTAAGTTTGAGGGGCAGGGAACACTATCCTGTGTTCCCTGCTCAATGTACCCCCTGGGAATCCTAGTTTTTAACCTGCACTCCCATTCTTGTTTCTTCATATTTTGTGCCAAGGATTAAACGGTTAGGGAATTAGTGTCTTACCAACCAACATTGAAGGGGCTTGTAGTGTTTCTGGTAGGCCTATAACAGTGATTGACAACCAGGATGTTGCAGCACCCTAGGATAACTGAAGATCCTTTTAGAGGTGGTGAGGGATGCCACAGAATTTTAGCACTGTTTGGTGTGCAAATGTGATCCACAGGATAAACTCAACAAGTTCACATAAGAATCCTTAGTTTAAAAACAAAACAAAACAACAAAAAACCTCTGACCTGTTGTGGTGCGAGTTCTATGCAACAGAAAAATTGCTGCATTGTTTTTTCATAGTAAAAAAAAAGAAAAGAGTGAAAACTTAGCACTGGCATTTTCTGAGACGTGCCTTGAGCCAAAAAAAAAAAAAAAAAAAAAAAAAATTGAGAAACACACTCACCATGCCTACATAACAAACAGACCTGAAACCTGTTATCATTCAAATGATAGCATTCATTCCTGAAATTCTCACAGAAATTGTATTTCTATGGAAAACTCCTCACTTTTTTAGTGTAAGAGGGTAGTGAAGAAAACAGATAAGATCAAGATTTAATTCTGACCTGTGGAAAACAGCTCATTTAATATCTAGGCCAGCAGCTCTCAACCCAAATGAGGGTTGTGGGGGCAATACCGGTGATGCTGCACAGAAAAGATGAGCTGCGCTGCATGCCGGGAGCTCCCCTGCCTCTGCGCCACCACAGTCCGCTCCCAGCAGCGGGACGCAGAAAGAAAAAAAGGTGGACCACTGATTTAGGCACCGAGGGCATGAATGATGCGTGCCCCTGGAGGCTGGAGGGCACAGCAACTGCCCACAGGCAGCGGCAGTGGTGTTGACAGTGGGGGCATGGTGATAGTGAGCGGGGACTGCCTGCAGGCAGCCGTGGTGGCAGCGGTGGCAAGCAGGAACCACTCGCAGCCATGTCAGCAGCAAAGGGGGAGCAGCAACCACTCACAGAAGCAGACGGTGGCCAATCTTGTGGGGGGCACATGCTCCCTTACATGTTGCCTATGACTGAGGGATTCTATTTGTTGAGAGCTTAAAGCGCCCATGAACCACAATCAAATGCTATAAAATTAAAGTAATTGTGATCATTCACACTAGATAGGTACCTCATCCATATCCTGCACTTGTGTATCTTGGTCTAGTTGGGCTGGAGTCTCATCTGTCTTTTCCTGCTTTTCATCTTCTTCATCTGACTCCACCTCCATCTCTACTTCTTCACTTTCACCAAATTTTTCATAGCGTTCCTGGATCAGGATGCGGGCACCAAGTTCTTCTGGAGTAGTGGGAGGGGGGAAGTTCCCTGCAAGATGGTTAAAAACACATACACAACATATCACCACTGAGGGGGACTCTTTATCACTTATTAATTGCTTAATATGCAGATACAGATGCTAACCTGTTCCCTAAAGAAACTATTTATATTTAAAAAGGAAAAAACAGAGAACAGGACTGATAAAAATGATGAACATAAAGATATGATAGCAGGTTTAAAGTGAACATATCAGCAACAATCACTACGTGGCATTAATGAAGCCCCTGAGTTCAGGGATATTTGTTTTCACTGGAACAACTGACAACAATATAAGCCCCTAAATAAAAACAAAATGACTTTTCTTGTGAGAGCACTGGTGACATCATTAACTATGAAAGAAAAAGGACCCCAACTTTTACCTCTAAAAAGCCTTTTTACTCATCTTAAGATATATACTTGCTTCTACTCTGTACAGGAAAGGAAAAATTTCACTTAAGCTTTTTACTGTAATACTCAAAAGTTAAGTGTAATCCCCACGAAACAGATAGAGAGCCAGATTCCTGAAGGAATTGTCACTTATCTTTCATACCTTGTTCATTGGGCTGGAAGTCTACTGTTTCCACCACTACGAAGTCATGCCAATCAATCTGGGCATAGGCTACACGCTCCTTTTCCTTCTCCTCCTCCTCCTTCTTCCTCTCTCGCTCCTGGAACTTGGCCCACTCTACTCTGTAATACACCTGCACAAGTGGGCATAGGGAACCAAGTCATGGAAGTGGGAAGTATGTCACAACATAAAGACAGAACACACTAGGAACCACCAAACCAAGGACACTTTCATATGCTCCTCTCCATCCCCACCAGTATCTAAGAATGTAGTGTCCACTGCTTGTTATAATCTTGGTTAATAATATCAGCTGTATGAGAACGCCAAAACTTGTGCTATTTGCATTCTCCCCTACTTATTACTAGGGGTCCGGGTTTTCTGTTTGCCTTTCTGTTTAAAGGAGAAAAACCTGGGAAACCACAGGTTTCTCATTGCAGGCTGGCAAAGTTCCAGCTTGCAAGGAGCTGCTTGGGCCCAGGGGGGAAGCAGGATGCAGGGGGAGCCACATGCATGTGTGTGGCATGCACGTGGCAGCCAGGCAGCAGCGAACAGCAGCTCCCACAGCTCCTTCTGGGTAAGTCAATTTTGGGGGGGGGAAGTGGACCACAGATGCATCAGGGGGTAAAGGGGAGCAGGAGATACGTGGGGGAGCAGAGATAGGGGGCAGGGCACATTCCCCCAAGATTTCTGTGCCCATCACGGGGCTGCAGCTGAACTGGACCAGCTCCAGGCAGGAGCCACCTCGGCAACCCACCGGGCAGGACCCAGTGTGGAAGGGAGCACCACACTGCCATGGCTGCCAAGATGAGGTGCCCCCTGCCTGCCGTGCAGCAGCAGAAGGCACAACTCTGTACTGCTGCGCCTCACCTTGGCAGCACAGTATCTTACAGCCAGATCTTGTACACTGCTGTGGGCATAAAAATCTGGGAGAGGCATGTACCCCCCCCTCCCCACACATCACCTAAGTAGGGTTGAGGGGGGCGTGGGTTGGGAATGAGGTGCAACAGCATAGGAAGAGGCAGGGTACCAGCATATCAGGGCTGCTTAGTGCCACAAAGCATTGGGGGGAGGGGGCCACAGCCAGACCAGCATCCTGGTGAGTAAAGGGGACAGGGGTAGTTCTAATTTTCCATGTTTAAAAAAAAAACCAAAATCAAATGCCAAAATATATAGGCACTTAGAATTAATGACTGAGGCAGTGTTAGGCTTCCAAATTGCTTGAAAACTGTAAATATATCAATATTGTGTTCAACTATATATAGTAGCATTTCATTTTAATTTGTGGAAAAACACGGATTTGGAGAATTTTCAGAGTTTTCTCTATCCCCCCACCTAAATTGAGAATTTGTGATTTTTAAAACAGAGAAAACCAGGATCCCTGCTTATTACTATGTAGTTTTATAGAATCAGCCACTCTAAGATTTTAATTCTAAACCACAATTATGCATACAAGCTTTCCTCCCCCACTGGCTATCAGAATCAGGTCTACTTCAGTTCACATCACCTGTATGCATGCATGTCTGCTATGCAGCTAGGTTGCTACTTTATTGTAGTAAAGTGAGTAAAACACAAAGTACCAATACCACACAGTTACTTGACATGACTCCATATGACCTTCTAATTTTCCTCACTTTATTTTGCTGCAACTTACTAGAATCATCAGTTATTACAATTATGAGAGCTCTGCTGAGTACAATTCTAGTAAGTGATGAACACTGACACACTGATGTAACCAAGCAGCCACATAGGCATAAAAAATTAACTTAAGTGTCAAAATAGTGGGTCTGATCCTGCAGCAATTAGACAAAACTCGCAGTGATGTCAAAGAATGTTTGCTATTGCATAGGTTCAGCTATATATGTAAAGGCAATGTGAATATTATTGAGAATTCTAAGGGTCATGCCTCAAATACTGGCAAAAATTCACAAGTTCCAGAGAACTTTTATCATTAAACAAAGTCACCTGCCAACTACTAAAGTAGTTGCTCTAGGGAAAAAAAGCAGCGTTTAAGAAGAGGAGGTACTATCTATTAAGACTAGTGGTGCACAGATACAGATTTTTGCAGCCGATACCGATAGCCAATTTTTAAGGAGGCAACATTGGCCAACACCGATCCGATTTCCGATACCCAGCCCAGCAGTGTGGAGAGCTACCTCCAGCTGGTAAGTCTGGTGTGGTGGAAGGGAAAGGGGAGGGAAAGTGCTGAGGGGGGCAGATAAAGGCTGCCACAGTGAGGGAGGGTGTGGGGCAAGCACTGCCCAGCCAGGGCAGGCCAGGTATGGTACGGAGCCACCACCCATCGGGGGCGGGGGGCGGTGCGGCGCGGCGCACTTGACTGGGAGCCACTGATCCAGTAGCTCCTGCTGCTCGTCCAGGAGCAGGGGCATGTGCCCCCAGATCTGTGTGGGGCATGGCAGGCTGGGGCCAGGCCTGTGCCAAGCTCTTCCCGATGG